TTGTATGTATATATTGGTCATCTATTCATATATACACTTTTCCTAATTGCACTATTGTACTCATGATTGCTCTACTGGAACACATGCTTTTCTCATACTACATACTGAATACAGAGTAATATGTATATTTATACTAAATATGCTGCCATATACTATAAGCACAATCACTTCCATCTACTTCTATGTGTTTTATATACTTACATTTATTAATTTAACTTACTGTAGTTTATCTTTTTTCCCTTTATTCACGTCTACCTCATGGCATCGGTGGGTTACACACACTGATATTCATTGCATCTTTTTACAATTTCAGTAAAGGCATTCTATTCTATTCCATTCTATTCTATTAGTGCCTGAAAATGGCTTCTGAAATAAAAGGGCATTCCCCCCTCGCTCTCCCTCCTCCTTCTCTTGGACGACTCCCCAGCCCCTTTAGATGTCCCTCCAACCCAACAGCCACCTCCGGTTTCTCAGTACCTGACACACATGATAACTCAGTGTGACGCCCGGCGATCAGGAAGAAGGCAGACCCCAATATGCGGGAACACACTGGTTTATTTGGAGACTTGAGTACAGACAAATCCAGGGGGGCAGTGCAGACGGGTGGTCGGGTCACTGGCAGTGGTCGGGTTCCGGGAATGTCAGTCCTACACAAACGGACGAGACGAGTAGACGAGAAGGAAGGAAGGACCAGGATCAGCCGGGCAGGGGAGCAGGACGGAGCGGGTTGGCAGGCAGGACGAACCGGGCAAACGGGAGACACAAATAATGCTTAGTAATGCTCATTAGATAATAGCAACAATACTTCGCAAAGACCGGCAGCTTCCGCCGGTCTTAAGTAGCGGAGCGATCAGCTGTGGATCGCCTCCCGGTGCTCGGCCCCGCCCACTCAGTCACCTCACCTCCACACAAAATCATTTAACGCCCAGTCAGGCTCGTTGTCACAGCAATCGACCAGAGAGAAGAGACCACTGGAGCGATGGCTGGGATATGTAACATTCAACTCTGGGAGGACATCATCATTTTCGATTTGACGCCTGAGACAAAACAGGACGGAAGAACGATCATACAACAGGACAAACGGAGCATGACTCCTTAAGCTGTGAGAGCACGTCTCAGTAAAAATGGAAAGAATCCGGTGGCAGCAAGCGTCTTTAATCTTTAATATGCGCCACATTTTATTAGCCTTCAGAAGCGATAGAATTACAGGACAGCCAACGGCACAGGTAACGGTAAATGCTCAGTATTCATCGTGTCTCTTCAGGCATTAGGCTGTCAGCGTTGTGGGGCACGGTGTCCTTGGCCATCTCCTGGATGAAGACATCCAGGGGTGCTGGGGGAATGCACTGCCATGTTAAATATGCCCCCACTGGAACAGGGCGCCATGTAGCTGAGGCAGTGTCTCCCTACCTGCTCCCTGGGGACCCACAGACAGGGAAAGAGCAAAAATGTGGACCGTGTGGGGGTCCCCAAGGACCGAGTTGGGAAACGCTGAGCTAAGGGCTTTCTGGAGGGATCTCTGACACACGGTTGGTGTTCACCATGGAATGGGGGAATGTGGCATCAAAATTCTACTTCCCACTTGACGTCCTCCATCAGTGCCTGTGATCCCCATGTTCCGGGAACTGCATGAGGTGCACAGTTGTCACAAGTCTGTTCTTTGGAGGTAGTACTACTCTCTACCATCTCCCCAGCCTCTGAGCACGCTCAGTGCTTTCCAGTGCCCAGATACAGGCTGGTGTTTAGGGCCAGGGGGTGGACAGTGGGACCTATGAATCTTTGAGTTTATTTCAGCTATAGGAGCCCAGTTAAACCGGTCTGGCTCATCCATGTGAGGGACCACTGGCAAAGCGACGAATTGGAACTTCATTTCCCTGCGGAATCAGCTCCCGCCCCCCTGAGTGTGATTCCCTCGCTTTGCGGGATTGGAGGCCTGGAGCGGGGAAATTGCGATTCGCCCGAGGGTAATTGGGACAAGCGAGGCGGCGTCATAAGGGTGCGCCGATTTGCACGCCTCAGCCAGCACCGTAGGACTGTGCTCGCTGCAGACAGCAGGGTGTGGCAGAAGAGAATCTTGGGACGTGCCTAGACACAACTGTCCCCCCTCCTCCCCGATTCGGGGGATACAACATGCACAGTATTTAAAGCACGGTATAGCACGCTTTCTGCACTTCTTGACTCCATCTGTTGGAAATGCCTTCTGTAATCAGACAGCATGACAATTGGCTAATTTAACACATAATTAGTTATGATTCTCATACAGGACTGCTCGCATTCCTCCATGCTCACAGGGGATCAGGTCAGTGCCCCCTCCCCGCGCACGTAATGAGCACGAGATCCGTGATCGGAATGATGGAGAAAAGCTTAAAGCATGCTGAGTCTATCCATCGATCTGTTTGATGCTCAGGTTTCAACAGGAGAACTTAAGCCATCTGTATCTTTCTTGCTGCCATAACAACAAAATACATAAATGAATAAACAAATGAATCCCTACTCCGATTCTTATCCTCATGGATTTTCCGTGGCCTGAGGGGTATGAGCCGGGGTCAAAGGTTAAATGGTGGTGAGCCAATGAATGGACCCCAAGTCATTTCAATGAGCACAACAGCTGTGATGGGGCCTGGCTTTTGGACTCAATCTTGTGCTCGATAATGGATCGATGGGCCCGTAGCTTTGTCCAGCAACCCCTTCTAGCTTCTGCGAGCGATGCATCCTTCCAGGTTTCTTTTCAACAAGGCAGAGGATTGAATCAGACAGAAAGTGAACTGGCTGCACGTGCTTCCAAAACAGATAAAAATGACAAAAATGTGCCATTGCAGCCCCAGATGATGAGAATGGGACCCAAGAATTCAAGTCTGTGATGGATGGAAGCGGTTTAAACCCTCCTTTATCACCAATAAATGCCTTCTGCCAAGCAGACTCCGTTCATCATCCCCCCACTAACATGGTAACTTCGATGTTGAAGGGGGTCAAGGTTTGGGAATGACATGCTTGGGAAAATCCTACAAGCCCAAAACCGGGAAGTGAAGCAGGCATGGAAAAAATATGGACGTCATTTGATGTCACCATGATGACCAGGCAGCTAGGGGTGCATGCAGAGAGGAGGAGGTCACATGACAGGAAGCCACCCATCACCTGAAGGCTTCACCGTCATGGGCAGGAAGAAAGACTGGGAATCATTGTTAGTTTGCTGTTTCAAGGAAGGGATGAGGGTAACAGTGCCGGAGCTCGGCGAACTGGGGAGGCACCTGCAGCCATCCATGGAGATCTGCAGCTAAACAATGTCCTGACAGATACAAGCGAACCCTTTTCTCGCCCATTATGGAAGCGGTGACCATCAGCTATGATTAGCATTCCTTCCAAGCCGAGCCAATCCCCGTCCAGCAGTGAATCCATTTCCAGTGGAAACTTCAGCGTGGGGGAATTTCAGACTTCATTACACCAAATGCTCCTCATGAGCACTGGGCTGACTAATAACAGCAGCTATTGGAAAGCTGCCTGCAAGAGTTTTTTCCTCCGAAACAGAAACCAAAACAGAGGCATGTAAAACAAAGGCTGTTTTTTCTCTCTCATGCCTCTGTTACTATGATTCTTTTTTAGTTCATTTGAGAAATGTTTTCAGAGGAATTTAAGCATAATTTAAAGGCATGGCAAAATATGAAGGAGATACGGCTTAGAATCAATATTCTGTTCATTGAAACGCAGCCTCTGACTTTATTATCCATTTTATTTGGATCTGACCAAACTGAGCATAAGGTGTTGAGTCACTGTCTGTAAAAGGTGCAGAAGTGCTTGAGCAGTCCTGGGGACAGATACTGCAGGTGGGAGGAGAAGCGTGCTCTACTGTCACCGGGCTCTCCAGAAAACGAGGTGGTTTACACCTACTCAAACCGTGCGGATCTGGCCGAGATGCACACCCTCTAATCTCCCCCGTCTCTGACATGGAATTCGACAGTCTAGAGATGTTCCTCAAAAAAACCCCCACTGCCACCACAGCTTTCTCTGTATGCAATACACTGCTTAACCGAAAAATCTGCAGATGAATCACTCTGCTTTCATTGGGTCTGCATACGTGCCACCATAAAATACAGTTGATGTGGTCTTTGTGGATTGCTTGGCCTACCCTATAAAATCTACTGTCAGAAGTCTGGTGCATCTCATATTTTAAACCTGGAAAAAAATGCCATTATTGTGTACAAATAACACAGCTTCAGTACATCTGGTTGTAAAAATGCCTGTTTAATCAAATATGCCCCAGTAGTTCCAGCAGCACTAAGATGAAGATATGTGAGTTACCAGTCTATAAATATAAATAGTCTATAAATAGTGGGAGAAAAACAAGTGAAGTACTGAAGAAAATATTACATTAATTAGACTCTCAGCTTCATGCGTAGGCCATGCTGAGCAGAGCCTGCTGCCTTAGGGGGCCTGAATGGTCCTCTCAATGCCCTTCAGCGGACACCCCAGTTCTGAGTTAGTGATAGGTGCGAGTGCCCTCTGATGTGCCTGTCCAGAATGTGTGTTCCGGTTCCAGGTTTCATTATGGATTCCTGGTACCATTCCCCCTGATGCTGTCCTAAGTTTGTGACGGATCGGCCTCCTGTTCAGGGAGCCCTTGTGCCTTAGGAAATCTGAGATGAATGCAGAATCATACCAACCGCAACCGAATAACTGACAAGTGAAATGGCTGGATGCATGAACGTCTATAGAGAAAGGGGGAAGGGGAACAGAAAATGCTATTTCATTCATTTTCTTTCCCACATTTTTAATTGCAAATTCAGCAAGACATCACACATTCATCCATCCAGATTAGGGTCATGGGTGGGGGGGGGGTCCGGAGGCTATGGGCACAAGGCAGGGAACAACCCAGGATGGGACACCCTCACACACACTGTTCACTCACACACGCCCACCTACTGGCAACGCCAATTAGCCTCGGCATCTATTAGGAGTCTGGGGAAGAAACCCCTCGACATCACCACACCACCACCCCCATCTTGCACATTGTATATTCAATTTTATTGTTTGAAACAACCTGAGCTGAGAAATTAACTTTAACAGCTTTTCTGTGTTTCCATGTGAAACAACAAGAACAGACAATAATTGCACTTTTAAAAACTGTGGGCACCTTTCTCGCTTTGGCAGGTTATTAATAACAGCCGTTCGTGTTCATGGTTAGGGATGTGGGACGAGCAGCACCCACGTAAACCAAGAGCTTCAGCATTACCCACACTGGATAGTACCATGCCGAATGTTGTCATGACAACCACCATCCAAACAAATCCTCAGAAAAGGGGGGGGGGATATATCTCTAATATCATGCTGAAGAACTGTGCCAGGAAGGAGCCGGTCCCTTCACAGAACAGGCCCTGTAAGAGGCAGATCTCTCTCTCAGCAGCTTCATCTTAATCATCTGTCTCTGCCTCCACCGAAGGATTCCTGTGACCGGTGCATCCATAAATGTCATTACACTGAACAGTCAGCTTGGTTATTGAGTTTATCATCGTAACAGACATGTCTTCATAAGCGCGTAATCCGATGAAGTGATGCTGTTTATCGTCTTCGTCCAGCAGCAGGAAGCCGCAAGAATTTTGCCTCTTTGAAGAGAGCAGTGCTGTGTTTCATGATCGGTTCAGGAGAGGCCGCGATTGGTCAGATTCAGGGGCCTCCAGGAGGCCGATTGCTCCATAGAAAGTACCAGAACAGGATGGACTTTCTAAACCGAGGACCTGCAGAGAATCATAAGGAAAAAACACGCTGAATGGAACGTTTCAGCAAACACAGTTGGGTAATTCAGGTCCAGCGAGTAAAAGTCTAGACCAACATTTTGTTTCAACCAACTACAGTAGTTGAGCCTAAAGAGTCACAGTCACAGAGTACTCAACTGGTTGGTTGAAACAAAATCCCGGTCTGGACTTTTGCTCTTCGGACCAGAATTACCCAACTGTCAGCAAAGCATGTAAATATTTATTGCAGCATGTAACGAACACTCTTAACACCCAAAACACGAATCCAGCTCAGGGAAAACAGAGTGGGAAGTGATGACCTGCCTCCATGACAGGCTAAATGTGTTTTCTAACCCCCTGCAGAGAGATAGAGGAGAATGAAATCCAAAATACAGCAGATGACAGATCATGACTATACACAAGACGAAGTGCAGTCAGAAGACCATCTTGGTATATATTTAAAACCACAGAGGCACCAACAGACCAGCACAAAACCACAACGTGATATTTTTCTTTTGCCATGACTCTTCAAACTGAGGTACAAAACACAAGGCCTAAGAGGCAGTTCAAGATGTAGACAGCAAATAAGCTTTTTTACCTGGTTAGTGTCAGAATGATCTTTGGCGTGCTTATATTAAAATGCTGTTTCCCAGACAGGGACATTATTCCATCTCACAGCACACACACACACACACACACACACACAGAAACACAAACAGAAACACACACATAGAAACACACACAGTAACTGCTGGAGGAGACCAAGGCGGAACATGCAAACTGTACACAAAGAACACAGGTACCAGTCAAATCCCCACCCTGTAGGTGTAACACCCATTTAGCAAATATTCAGCATAAAATTGAATTCAATAACATGTCAACACTTCATTGAATTTAACTGTTGAGAGACTCACAATCAGTCCCTGGCATAATTCACACTCTGGCAAGTCTGATCCACTGGACCTGGCCTATATCATTCAGGCAATTTGTTACATCTGTCACAATTTGTTAGAAAGGTGTCTGATATTGTTTTATAGCTGACTTGTGTAATTTCTATGTTTTTATCTATTTTTGTTTTCATGTCACTGGGCTGCAGTTCAGTTCTTCACAGGAGTCCTTGGATTGATTTGAATTCATTTATGGTCTGTGAATACTGCACTTTGGAGTCCATGGTTTTTTTTACATAATTTAAAGCCAAGCAAGCTTCCATAACTTGTCTGAATCGTTAAAATTTAAAATGTGCCATATAAACTGAAAAAATAACTTTCGCACAGTATGCAGAAAAAAGAACCTTCGCACAATACACAGTATATTTACTGAATCTGGCACTTCCACAAAATTTCCCCTAGTTTAAGTAGTTTGTGTTATTAGTTAAATGTCAAAAAAAAAGAAAAAATAACTTACGGTTTCTTCATCACTTCTTATTCCTGTGAAAAGGGAGGATCCCTGTGCAATAAACTGGCAGTTGACGTTGTGAGGACACCAGCTCACATTGCAAGTTCACAGATGAGCGTGTGAAATTCAGTAGATGTGGGTCTCTTTTAAGAAGCCCATTTAGGACACCATGGGCTTGGAAATAATCTAGAGCTCAGATTCTGAATTTTGAAACCTCAAACCAGCTCGGCTCGGCAGCTGACAGGCATGGACGCAGTGCTTTTTACAGCACTGCAGTATAAAAAACTAAATGAAAATATCACTGCATAAATACCTGAGGCTAACTGCTGAGGACACCCATCCATCTTCCTGTCACATATTCTGGTCAAGGTCATAAAGGGGGGGGGGGGGGAGGTGGAGCCTATCCCAGAGCATAACACTGGAGAACACCCTGGCCAGGATGGCAGTCCATATTACTGAGGTTATAATAATATATTTTAATGTCCTAGGGATGACATCCTGAATGGGAATACAGCAGTCAGGGTGAGCGGTGCGGTTTCACCAGAGCCCGCAGGCCTCTCACCAGGGCCGTACCAGATCGATAGCTTCCCCGCCATCTGCCGTCTCGCTCCCGATCCCCACGGCTCAGGTCAAGGTTACTACAGCCCCACATGCTGAGTGCCGGATTCTCCCACAAACCATCTCAATTCATCACAAAATAGAATGGCATAATCTGACCTGAGGTGTGATTTGCCTTATTTATGGAGGTTTCGGTATTTCACTGCTTCGAGTTTGGCGGTAAATCAGAGGAGGCTATGCTCTCTTGGTGCAGTTGGAGGGGATGATGTTTATAATTCAGCCCATGACTTTCTCTACATGTTGTCGTGCTTAAAAATGAATAGCATGATGCGTGGTGAACAGGCCTGGGGAGCAGGCAAAGCTGTGTACAAGAATTATGAACACAAGTTACAGAGCACAGGTTCGAGAAGACTGCAAACGCCAGGCCGAGGGGTTATTGGAACTGGAGCACGATAACGGGAAATCAATATTAAAAATGAAAAATGTATGGCCATAAACTCACAGTATTCTGCACATAAGATAAGATAAGATGAGATGAGATAAGATGAGATAAGATGAGATAAAGCTAAGATAAGACGAGATAAGATTAACTTTGAAATTCATGTGCACATGAAGTGCAAACAAAAAAAATGTAGTGTTAAACAAGACACATAGTACAAACAAGTAAAGACAGGGCAAACAAATTTTAAAAACATACACTGTACACAAACAGAAAATCCTGAAAGGAATATTACAAATTATATATATAAATATAAATAAATTATGTGACATGAGGTTGAATCCACACAAACCTGATGTGCTGGTTCATGTACTGTATGTCGGCATGTTTCAATAAAGCGAACGGGAGCTCCTCACGGAGGCGGCCTGCGTGCATCATCTCGCTCTGCAACTTAGCTCCTCATTGACGAGGAGCCCCTGGAGATCGACGTTCGTCATCGGCCTATGGTACCCAGTCACTCGGCCTCGTCGCTCATCTGTGACCTTCATATGATACCGTCATGCGGAGCTGTGGGTCAGCACACAGCACTGAGCCCATCTGTTTGGGGAAGCAGACGCTTAGCAAGGAATGGGGTTAGAGTTTGAAACGGTCAATCCAATAACACTGACAGAATAAAGGGTTTAAAGTGACTGGCATTAAAAGGATAGGTGCATATTCGACTATTTCAACTGCTGTTCTTCAGACCTCTTAGTGCATTATGGGAGGGGTGTGACTCTGACTGGAAGGTTGCCGGACCAAATGCCATGATCAGCAGTGTGATTACACTTTTAGGCCTTGGGTGAAGCCCTTAACGAACATCGTTCCTGGAACTGAGTGACCCAACTTAGGTCAAGTGTGAGTTAGGACTCCGTGATCAGGAGGTCACGGTTCAAATCCCAGGGTCAGAAGAGTGATTTCACCACTGAGCTTTTCAGTGAGGCCCTTAGCCTCCAATTTCCCCAGGCAATGGCTGGCCCTGCTCTCTCACTTGTATATTCCTTTGGATGAAAATGCCTGTTAAATGACTAAATGCATTAATCTGATGTCCGAATTAGACAGTCAGTTGATTTTTTGCAATAGAAAACGCATTCCCCAGCCTGCCTATAGTGTCGCCCCTTCCCTTTATAAGGCAGATGAATATCCCTCCCAACACCACAGCCACTCTCCGGAACGCAGCCCCACTGTTTGTTCCCTGCCAGTCACCGGTGACTCTTTATCAGCCTCCTCTAAGCAAACAACAAATCTGTTGTCCCGTCGTTACAGCGGGACACAGGGAGATAGGCATCGAGAGGCCGACGCTATCACATGCCCGGCTGCCCCCGGTGCAACCCGAACCCCCATCACCGGCTCTATTGTGTTGGCAGGAATGGACGCCCTTGCTGCTGTGCGAGTCCCACTGAGGGCATTGGATTTCCTGTGCGGGGTAACCCAATAGGCCTTGCCGCTGGGAATATTAGCTGCCCTTTCCAATCTCGTTCTGCTAATGCCCCATCCACCCTGTCCTCCCATCATTTGTCACTCTCTTCCTGAGAAGGTGTATGGGAACCACACAAGGTGACATAGATGAGGAGCATTCCTTTGCGGAGTCCTTCTTTAATGATAGAAGAGGGCCAACACTATTGCAGCTTTCAACATGTCTGTTAACTTCTAAGAGTCACCTTGACAGATACTCCAGCTTGACCGAGCTGCTAAGGAGTTGACATGGACCAAGAAATCCACAATGTTTCCTTACAAGACGCAATAGACAGAGACTGGCCACTTGATGATCCTGCTAAACCCTGACTCTTTCAGTTCTCCTTAATTCCAGAACGACACTTCCCCATTCTCAACACAATCACCGTGCTGTAGCTCCCGGCTGCTGCAGTGACCTGCATTGAGGTTTACGGATATGAAACCACAGTCGGCTCAATTCCAACCCACTAAGGTATCAACGGTCAATCCTCGGGGCCAGTAGGGAGCCTGTAAGCAGAGCTGCGCGTCTTAGCAGGGTCAACTGATCTGGCTCCTTTGTTGGTGTCGATTAGCATGCTCGATCACAGCCACGAGCGACGCATGGGGCCACGCCATTCAGCATATGCGACTTCCCAGGTTTGACACGTCAATGAAACCATGCCTAACAGGAACTCCTTTGAGGATCCGCCCATGGAGTTTTACGGAGGGCCATATATAGCCGAGGAGCTGTGTTACCAAGCAAGTGCGTCAAGCACTTTAACTAAACAACCCAATGTCCAATTAATATTAAATGACACAACGGACATTATTATCCTCTGAGATGGTTCTTCTTTTCATCTGCAAGGCTTTAAGCTACTGTTTCATTCTATGAAATTTTTATTGCCTGACAGAAGGAGGCAGATTTTTTTCATGGTGCCGCACCGGTTAAAATGTCGAAGAAATGCTACCCATGTCACTACTGCACTGTCTTCTGAATGGAGAGGAATTTTTGAATTGAAACGCATGAGTCTTCTTGAATGAAAAACCATCAGCATAAACATTCAGAAAACATTGCTCGTCCATGAAGTTCCATTTCCTTCCACTGATCTCCACAGCCTTACAGGAGCAGCTCATACAATGCTGTCCCTGCTTTTTGAATCGATTTCACATGGCTTTAGAAAGCAAACAGTCAGCAGAGGACTGTACACAAAGAAATTAAACAGAAATTGCCTGCTACTAAAACATTAACAGACTTAAAATCATCACCACTTCCTGTTGGTGAGTTCTCCGCGTTTCCAAGAGCAACCGTACTTCTGAAACAAACACATCACTCTCTAAATCCTACTAACTGCCATAGTAGCAGCAATGACCAATGCAACCTCTCTTCAGCATCCCCTACACTCACCAACTCCAATTCTTGACAATTACTCATGATGCAGTTTTCCCAAATAATCTCCCGTTGTTTAGCAACATGCGGATACACAGATTCATTAAGCTAAGTAGGCTGCCAGTATTTGCTCTGAGAGACCGGCAATAAGTTATGGCAGCGAGTGGAGTTTTATGCAGCATCTAACCTGGACCAAACATCCGGAAATGCGCTCAGCTGACCGAGACCAGCAACGCCGGCCAGTCCTTCTTTGTATTAACTTAAAGGGGTAGAGCTATTAATTATCTTTCCATGACGACAGTTAAAAACCCCCCAAATCATAATATAAGTCACATTTGACAAACAGAGCAGTAGGAGGAGGTTGTGGGGGGTGGGTCCTAACTACTGCTGAAAAAGGACTCTGGGCGGGGGGGGTTGGGGTTTGTTGCTTGGGCCCCACTCAAAACATCACTTTGGAGCCCAACACATATGTTTCAAGAACTTAAAAAGTGAGTTGACACAGAAGATCATAGCTAGCTAGTAGGTTAGCAGAACATGCTGCTTCAGAATCTCCTAAATAATGGGTGTGTTTATTTAATATTTAGTGTGGCGACTGTTTGTGGCCAACAGGGGGCCCCCAAACCCTGAAGGCCCTACAACTGCTAGCAGATACATGGAGACCTGGGAGGTGAACTTTATCACATCTTTCCACTGTGGTCCCACACGGAGTGATGACTCAGTCTAACCCACATGCTGAGACACTCCAACACCTGTTTCCTTTTGTTTAAATCATTCTCATTAACTTATTTTTTTGTCACACATAATTTAATAATTTCCTGGGTGTGGTCTTGACAGATGTTTAAAACAAGGAAACTTCCAGTTGGATCCCCCCAGGAACATGTCTGAAACTCATAAACACATCTCAACAAAATTTGAATGCAGCCCAACAAATACCAGAAACACAACGAAGGCATTAGCAGAAGCTTTCATCCAGTTGGGAAAGCGGAGTCAGCCAGTCCCAGGAGCGATTGGGGGTTAAGGGCCTTGCTCAGGGGCCCAATGGTAACATCACTCTGCAGACCATGTGATAAGAACCTTCCAATCATCTTAAGCTCTCAGGGGAGGCGGACACGCTTCTATCACTCTCCCTCCCCTTATCTTCCCTGCTTTGCTCCTCTCGTCTCATCTAGTCTACTGTCTCACCGCATCCTCCCCCCACCCCACGCCTTTGCCGCTTCATACCCCCAGTGTGAACAGGCGGGTCTGTGACCGGCGCCTCTGGCTGCAGGACCGGATGGCTGTTTGTCTATGCTGGATTACCTCCACCTCCCCATTTCCCTCCCCTGTTGCGAGTCACGACTTTTTATGTTGTAAGGTGTAGTGACCATGTGCTTATGTTGCTGAGGTGTTTTTTTTTCTGTTCCTACATTGTCCTCCCTACTGGAGTACAGTCTGGGGGCTTCTCCTCTTCTCTCCTCATGTAATTCTGTTTTCTCTGTTCTTCCTATATCCCCTGTCTTCCTGACCTGT